TGGTATAGTGACTAGTTTCATCCTTTGGCACATGAGGCTGACCATGGGGAAAAGGTAGAGAGAATAAGGCACATACGAATCTTGTTGATGCCTGTCAAGGGAAAAGTAAGCATCACTTTCATTGATATTCTATGTGTTCATATGATGTAAGATGTTCCCACCCAAAAATATTGGTGAATACCTTCTCCCAAATGTTTCCTCTTATATTATTTTGACCTTCCTCCTCATAACGACCATCATCGTAAACCCAAAAATGTGTATCACGGGGGCACTGCACATTTGCCAGCTGAAAATTCAAAGAACAAGGTTATTCCATTGATTTTAATAAAACCATGATGTTATGATAATGAAGGATCCTCCAAAGATTAAAAGGGATCATCAGACCACAACTATAGACTTGTTAAAAATGTTTGATTATTGTCCAAATGTGTCATTAAAGATTGGAATTTTTTTTTAGCAAAGTAGTATGAGCATCAATTAGGTGACAGGTGTTTTGTTATTATCCTTTTCAGTTATGATTTAAGAATATTTTATCATTTCCAAAATCTTATGATCTTTGGGAAACAACAGCAGCCTGTTGTTCGTATTTTGAACAATCTGGTGGCACACCCCACTCTTTCCATTTCACTCCTACCTCTGACAACATAATCCAACAAATTGCAGCTAAATTTAGTATTATATAAATGGTTAAAAATTTAAACAAAGATAAAAGCCTACCTTGAGTACCCTCAATTCAAGTTTTGTGATCTCTCGACCATTCATGTAAACCTCAGTGTTTCCATTACTAGCATCGAGGCTAAGTTTCCCACTGAAATTCAAGTTTGAACTTATGATTCTGTCAGGTTTTTCCCCTTCCTATAAAATGAACAAGTACAGAAGTTAAATCCTGTTATCTGTTTACAGAATAAAATATAGCATTGTGATAAGTTAACCTGATCAATTTGGAAATAAAAATTTTAATATGCTAGGAAAATGGAAATATACATGTTGACAAGTCCACCTTGTGAATTTGAAAATAAATTTTTCATTGCAACACTCCATCACCTTTCCCCAGAGACCAGATTCTTTGTCATAGCAATATCTACCAGGCTTCAGCTTAATATTAAGTTAGTATGTCAGTTTATTTATACGTAAGTTTCGTGGGTTGAATGTGGATCAAATTTTTTAGATTGTTTTATTTTATGAATTGCATTTATTTAATCATTAAATTTATGAGTTTTGCAGATCGAGTCTTAAATGGATCAATCTGTATTACCACTTGTGATCATGTTGATAAATAAAACTCAATTAAACTTAATCAATTTATGTTAAATTTATCTATATATATATATATATCAAAATTATTACTTTAATTCTCTAATTTCATTAGTTCAAGTAATTTAATTCTTGTCTAAGCCATGAAATTATGATTAAAAATATTATTTTATTTTTTTAAAGATTAAGAACGAGATATATTTTTTTATGAAATAAAAAAATATCTAATTGCATGAATAGTGTAAAAAACTCAATAAATAAAATATAAAATAATAAACTTACTTTGTAAATAAATGTATGTTACTATGTTTGGTGGTAAGTTATAATATGGGTAAGTTCTTATCATTGAATGTTATTTACTGCCTTTACAATTTCTTTACATTTAAAAGAAATGCTCAATATTCCAACTCATCACTAATAAATATAGTACCACTTTAATTTGAATTAGAAAGTAGTGGGGGACATTGAAAGTGGAAACGGATCCATACATTTGGGTTGTAATTGTGGAGTCAAATAAGCTGGCATCATAAAATAATAAATTAAAAGTAGATATTATTATTTAAAAATAATTTGTGTGAAATAAAAAAATATAGTGTTGTTGAAGTGAGCAGGGAATGGTAAGATGGACGGTGGATGTGGTGCGTCAGTGGACTGTGACACCCTTTCTCTTTCTCTTTCTCTTTCTCTTTCTCTTTTGCCTTTCCATCTCACTCATTTCTAAATTCTCATTAATAATGCTTTCCTAATTGCATTACCTCCTTTTAAATATACATCTTTTTCATCAACCCTATCTTCTCCCTTTTTATATTGTTATTCAATTATAAGTAAATTTGTCTGATTTTTCATAAATATTTTGAAATTTGGAACTTGAACATTTATAAGAAAATAAGTTATATACTTGTAATGTAATTTTTACATTTAAAATTGCATAAAAATAAATATTTTTATTTTAATTATCTTAAAATAATGAAATACGCAAAGATATAAAAAAAATACAGTTTTTTTATGGTTTTAAAATTTGTAATATTATATCCTCTATTTCATACTCTACAAATATTGTTATAACCTTATAAAAAAATATATTGGTCAATGAAAAGTAAATGTGCTTAATATCTTGAAAATACGAAACATATTTAATATCTACTATTAAAAAAAAGTACGATATGGAGTAAGATGATTTACAATTTTTTTAACAAATATTTACTTCATTTATTCTTTTTATAAGATTCAAGGAAAAAAAAACCCCTTAATTATTGTTATTTCTCTTAATTCAGTAAATAGTTAATAAAATAATAATATCATTAATGTTAGAAGTAATTTCAGAAAAAAAAAATATAAGTTTAAAATAAATTTAACACTATCAATTAAATTAGCTAAGTTTCTTTAATTATAGTAAATTAAGTGATTCAACCTTATAAAAAATATAAAAAAATACTATAATTAAGTTCTTTAGATTTATTGAAAACAATTGATAAAAATATATCGAAATAAAAAAATTATAAATACATTTCATTAAATAAAAAGTAAAATTCACAATTTGTATGGTTGTTAGTGTTTTTCGATTAATAGTAGTAATTGATTAGAAAGTAAAACTTCTTCTTCCATGTCAAATATCATAATTATAATTTTTTTTTAAATATGATATTAAACTATAACTAATTTTATTGATGATTAATTTTTAACATAAGTAACTTTAATTATCATTAATTTTTATTGAAAAATCTAAATAGTTATTTAAATAAAGTTTTATTTATTTATTTATATCTTTTTATCTAAAAGATTTGAATCCAAAATGTTGTCTGTAATGACGGTTATGATTGCCATTTAAAAGTTTTACTTTTGTGTTTTTATTATTAATAATAAAAAGACTTATCAGTAATTTACACTGTAAATACTAATTTAGATTAAACACAGTAACTCTTTTGTTTTTAAACAAGAGCAGTTTCTCAGTTTCTTGTGGTTTAGAGTTTAGACTTTGATACTGTCTGTTCAGCTGATTCCAAAGCATTATTATTACTACATTATTAACTTCCCCAAACGAGAATCCCCATCACAACACAACAAACCCAACATCATCATCGTTCACGCCAAGTAAACGATTCCTCTTCTCTCCACCTCCCCCTCTCTCTCTCTCTCTCTCTCTCTCTCTCTCTGGATTCATAATACCAATACCGTCTGGTTCCGGGTCGCACTTGCCCCGGATCAGGACCCTTCTCATGCAACCACTGATTCAACCGATTTTTGCCTCTCCCAAACATCAACTATAGGGAACTAATCCACCCTTTGGCAAGATAATCACACCAACATCCCAAAAATCGTTTTTTTTCCTTCCTGGGTATTGGTTTTTTTGAGTTGGGGAAAAAATATCATGGTGGGTATATTTTCGAGATTCTCTGTTGGAAGGAATGTTCACCGACGAACGCAAAGTGCTCTGGTAAGTTATTTCTCTCTTTCTGATGAATCCTTTATTTGCAAGCCAAATCCAATGATTTTGTGTTTTTCTTCTGGGGTGGACTTGGATTGACCTATGAAATGTTGGTTAAGCCTTGTTCTTTGTTTTTGTGCTATTGTGAAAACCACATTAAAATTTAATGATTATTGATTATGAACCTTGTCTTGCTCCGTGACTTCAATATATCTAACTGTTCATGTGATTTGCTGTTGGATTGGGAAAATTAGGAAAACCTATATTTGTTTGTTTGGCTAGGTATTTTAATTGGTGTCATGAACTTAGTGTTGTTGCATTATGCGTTGACTTTATATGTTGCAGGATGAGAGGGAAGTGATGCCTCCAAACTCAGAGGCTGCTGCTGCCGTAGCAAGTGCCGCAACTGCCACTTCTCATGGAATTGAAGTGGCTGTGGAGTTTAAGCCGGTTGAACACCCAATTGAACCCCTTGATAATGATAGGCCAATTCAGTGCCCCTTGCCAGAACCATCTATTCTTAATGTAAGACAGATTTCTGGTTCTCTATTGGCGTATGCCAAAAATTGATGGTTTGAATTTTGAAATATGTTGTTTGTTTTTGGTACAATACTGCAATCAATTTCTCTCACTGTGGCACATGTTTCATTGTAAAATCTATGGGTTAAGATTAATTTAGGCATTCATCCCAATTACATGCAGCGGTTTCATGTTAGTTTTATCAAAATCAATTTTACCAAACTTTAAAACAGACGGGGAACATAAGCAGTTTGGATATATAGTAGTAACAAATTGCACATCATTATATTTCTTGTTTGTTATTAGAGTTTAATTTTATATGTTTTCCGTAAAGATTTTTACACTATCAACTAATTAGAAATTACACTAGACAGACATGATTCTTAAAGTAGTTATTGCAAGAGTCAATAATTTTCAATTGTATGACACTTACTTGATTAGGTGACAGTGTGTTCACTGTATTCCAATTGAATTCTTAATCTTATTATTATTTAGTTCACTGAAAGTATGATTTGTTTTGTTAAGCATCCGACCTGATTGTGTTAGGATACTAGGCATGTCTTTTATTTATTTTATTTTGAGGAAAGATTACTATTTTTAGCGTCTTTTTGAGAAGACTTTTTTGTATAGATTATTTCTCTAGAATTAAGATAAAACAAAAAAAAAAAACAATATTTTGATAATGTATATTTGCTTATCAGCATTTTCCAAACATCAATTTTTTTTTTTTGTCGTTGTAATGTATGCATATGCATAGTATTATGTTAAACTAGCTTTGCATTAACGTTAAGTGCATTAGCTTCGACAATGATATGCCTTGTTGAGTTGTGCATTTTGAATATGTTTCCATTTTTTATTAGCAAATACATTTCCGGTTCAAACATGGATAAAATCATATATCTTGATAATGCATTGATATTCAAATAACATGAAAAATCCTTTAAGACTAATAAGAGCAATTTTTAGAAAGAGAGGAGATATACAAAGTTACAAGAATAAGATATCTACTATACAACAAAAGAGAAAGAACATAAACTAAGAGTATGATGCATGTAGGATTGCAAGCCAATGTCTTGAATTTATAACTAAGTCATTCCCTTAAAGATACCTTTGGCATGACTCCAAAAAGAAGCTAGATGAACTACTTTGTACCAAACTAAATCCATAGGTTAGACTAGACCAACGAAAATTCTAGCATTTCTTTCCAACCATATACATCAACCTACCACAAACTGAGAACATATTCAAGCCATTTAAATTAATGCCCAAGAAAGACTGAAGATCCTTAGGACAGATCCATCTTTCACCCACCACACCAAACAAATGGGAAGCATTTTCAGAACTCAGTAGATAAAGCAGTTAGTGGTCTTATAATTTGGAGCATGTCAGCAATGGTTTATAAAGCTCAAACATAATTGCTGAATAACTGACTACCAGCTTGTGGGGTGTGGTGGTATCTTACTATTTTTCAAGGGATTCTTTGGGTAGTTTCCTACAATAGTTTTTTTTTTCAGTCTTTCTTATGCATCCATGTATATGTGATTCCAACCTGATAGTGTCGCTACAGTCAACAAGCATGACATAGTGAAATTTATGCACACTGAGGGGTTAATTAAAGTTCCATCGAATTTGGTCAGATGGATTTTGTACACTTTACTGTTTTTATTCAATAGACTTATAGACAAGTTTGTAGTTGTGGGAGGGCTCAGAGCAGCCATATTTTTGCCTTAGTTTGTAAATGCTTTGGTGTAACTAGTCATACTATTTGAATCTTTAGTTGTTCCTCTTCTAAGTTCTAACATCAAAGCTGCCCAGGGAGGTTTGGAAGTGGGCTGCTACAAAAATTTATCATGAGTGGACGCCTGCATGAGTAATTTTACCTTCTATTCCGTTACTTTCATTTTGTCTTCCTAATTTCACGTGTGGCAGAATTGCAGTTAAAGCATCTAGCATACATATAAATCAAGTAATAATTGTGTTGTTAGTAAATTAAAACTAGAGGCTTATTTTTGTTCTTGATTGTGCAATTAGATGACACATATAAATTTGCATATAAATAAACATGCTATTTATTATTTAAATATGATCAATAACTACACAGCTACTATTAATTCATAGTTACTGTTGAGCTTTTAAAAACCAGAATATTATTTTGAAAAAATAAAGAATATGGTTGACGACTAGGGAGGTGGTATACGAGTGATTGCCTTTCTTTCCTGTTTGTTGAATCAGTTGAATAAAAAGGGGAGTGGTGTTTAGATTGCTTCATTTATTGAAATTCTTAGATGTTAGGATTCTGAAATATTGTTCCTGAATCATCAGGATGGAAGAATATGGAAAGAACGAGTATCTGCCACTGTGCGGAGAAGAGGTGACCTGCCAGTGATGAAGGAAGGGGGAGCACTTGAATCTGAAGGTGCTGGGACTAAGCCACGGTCATCTCAGTCTAACCGAATGATCTTACCATCTCTTAGTGCTCCGGAGCACAATCTTTTGAAACTTCTTGAAGAGTGTAATGCTTCAGGCATCTAAACTGGTATTATTGTTTTCAATGTGGTATTTTGTTGTTATAAATTCCATCAACTTAAATGTGATGCCCCTTCTGCGTCACTTTTTGCTGTCCTTTGCCATTTCTACATAGTATGCCGCTCCAATATGTGTATGTATATTCAAATGTATAATCATGAAATTCATGTGGCACATTTTCACTAGCTGCTTTATATAAAGACTCGAGTAATATACAAATTTCTACTTTAGGTCTACTGTTATTGAGCATATTTCTTTTCTACTTTTGCTGTCTATTATATATTATTGCATATTTTTAACTCTACCTAACCTTTTACTATTTCTCTCCCATCATTCCAAACTGTGCTTTCAAGTGTTCACGAAATCATCAGCTGAATTGTTAAAACACCATGGTCATGAATTTAGAAGCGTTAGTGACATATTCTTTCTTTATCGTACTTTTCGAAGCACAGTATTATTGGTTGAATATTTAAACAAAAAAAAATGCTGGATTCCTCTTATTCTTTTGACTGCTACCACACAATGCAAACAATTTGTGAAAAAGGAGTCTTATATTATACTCTCTAACACATTTATTTTAGTACATATTTTGTTATTGATTAAAATTTATTAAAAATTATAAAATTAAAACCTGTTTATTTATAAATTCTTTTATACATATGGAACGTCTATAAAGGCTGTAGCAGAGTCGGAGCATTATTAATGAAGTGGGATTTATGATATATAAGCTATAATATTTGGCTTCAACTAGCATTTTTATATCTTATGTCAGGAAACAACATGTGCTCTAAATTCTGTATTTCATGCTTGTCTTGCCTTGCACGGCTAATATTCCTAACGATAGTTTTGAAAGCCCCAAAGTGAACTCTACTCGATACACGTGGTATATTATATTGTATTAAATAGGTTAGAAGAGTCATTTTATACGTGAATTAAGTGGTTAATAATAACAGGCACCATGTGGAACACAACAACCTTTCTCAATCTGATGACACTACTCATGGATCGAGTTGAAAGTGCTTGGAATCTGATTCAACTAAAAATAAAACGCGCACTAAATCATAGTAGTTTGAATAGAAGTTAAAAAAAAAAAAAACTTCTTCGTTGGGATACACCTATAATCTACGCATGCATTAATTAAATTAATATATTGAAAACCAATTAACCTTTTTTCCCAGTAATTATTTATAATTGTGAGCAGCTTCGGGCCCATGAAACTTGAGGATCGTTTTGCACTGGAAAACACATTTGGTTAAAGGAATGATTCTTTTTATTTGTGATGTATAACTTGATTATTTATACAGTTTATATGCTACGGGTACGGTAGTTGTGCGCTCTTACACATTAGTTGCAACGACTCTTCAATCCGATTATTGAAGCATTGACCTCAAACTCTGGATAAACAACAAGCAACTCCACTCTGACCTATACAAAACTCATCCATTACCAAAATCCAGCATTTCATTTCCAGATCATAGGTTTTGTTTGTTTATGTTACTCTCAGTCAACTGATACTTATTCCACCAAATTAGTGGTTCTCCTCTTAATCAAAAATGAATTGAGAATTAATATAGCACCAAAGCTAAACCTTGATTGTAATGACTGATATATCAAATAGATAAATACAATAAGATCATATGAACGCATAGTCTTGGATGGTGTTACTAAATGTGTTTTCTAGCCATATACTAACACAACTCACCAGGAACAACTTTTTTGGAATTATCAAGAGTTACATAGAAATGGGCATGAAAAATAAATAACATCGAAAATAAAAGAACCTTAAAGAAAACTAGAGAGGAAATTGACGAGCTTGAAAAGGATGTTGTGGTGTTGGGTTCAGAAGGTGTTTCTTGGGGCCACGATGGCTTCCATGATTCATCCTTTGCCATGTCTTGTGCGGTTCCCGAGCTTGATCCTCTGGGATCAGTGTGTTCCTCGAGTGAACTGATACAAAGGAAGTGGCCAAGACAAGGAGGAAAAGAACAAAGCATGTGAGTGAGGCCCTTAGTACCATTTTGCTTTTTGGTTGTGAGTTGTGACCTTTCTTGAGGGGGTTAATATAGAGTTTTTATGGGATAACTTTGCTTTGTTATCAAGTCACAGGGTAAATCATTAGATGAATTTAATGGCTTGGTGGAACTGTTGCTGATTTTGATGGTGGGTTTTGTAATTGCCACTTATTACGCCACACTAACTCAGAAAAGATACTTTATGATGATGTTGTCACAGTTAAAGTGACTTGTTTGGTGCAAGTTTTTTTGGTTGGATAATCTCAATGAAGTCACATGAAGAAGAAGTACCTCATCATTTTAGCATGGAATGATGGATGCGGGGAAAGCACGCCCTCTCTAGAATGGTGAACAAGCAAGGAATCATGGGAGCGTTTATTGTTTAGATTATATTATCATCGTGTGCAGACTTCTGATTTTCTTTTTTTGGACCTAACTGGTCTAGATTAAGCAATTTACTTTAAAGAGTAAATAAGTAATATCAGTCTGTTTGGGTTTGTGATGGGGACAATGAAAATTGATTTTGATGAGTAAAATTTGATTTTGTAAAGATATACATGTTTGATTATGCTCCAAAATCTCAATTTGACCAGAAGTGATAAAACTTTACAAGGTAATTTTTTGCGTCAAGTTGGAATTTTACTCCAAATTTTATAGTTAGTTTGCTTTGAGAATAAAAACATAAATCACTTTATTTAAAAATTAATTTCAACTAAAAGTCAACCATAATTTAATTTAATTTAAAAAATATTTTTTAAAAATGTTCTTCAAATACACTCAATTTTGAATAAAAAAAACTCAACTATTAACATTATACATATATTAAAATATTAATTATTTATTTTTTATCTAATATTAAAATTGTATGGGATAGGTTTCAAATTTTCACATAGAAAAATTGTGAATTCTATGCTTAATATTGGAAGAATACATTCATGATTCCATAACAAGGATATGAATATTATTTAATTAAATAAAATATTTTCCAAAATTAAGCACTATTGAGCCTGTTGAACATATTCTTTTATGATCAAACTTAGTCGATAAAAATGTGAGACCATTACACATAATAAAAGATATTGAATGTATTTAAATGTCCTGTTGATTAACAATAACTTTTTCTTTCTTATACACACTTGTATTGATATGTTCAATCTTAAAATTATACAATACACTCTAAATATTTTCGTTAACTTTAATATTGAAGTCTCTTTTTCAAATTCAATTACTAATATGAAACTAATGACCTACTACCAAAAACTACTTTTTTGCCGGCAAGTACAAAAATTACTTCATTTTTATTTATTTTAAGAAATTTCAAATCACCATAATACTTGATGATTTGAATTTATCTTAAAATTATAGTCGGCCTAGTTTTAGCTTTGGTATACAACGAAAAGAAACCAAAAAGGAAACAACAAACAAGATAAACTAGGCCTAGTTTTAGCTTTGATATAAGCATTGAGCAGAATATTTTTTTAATTGAAATGCAATTAAATATAAACATTCTGTGCTTTAACGAACAAAACAATTGATGGAGGTTACAATTCGCTACATTCTCAAAATTTGGGGTTAAGGTCTGTGAAAAAATTATTTGAGAGTAAAATTTATGACAAAGTAAAACCTTAGGCAAACAAAATACAATTAAGCTTAGATAAGACAAATATATATATAATAAAATCCTTGCAGAAACACTCACGAATTAAACAGTCCAATTGTGGACCCAACAGGCCTTGAGGCTTTTGGGTCTTACTGGGCCTCGCTAGGCCCGAGTTACCCAAAAACAAAAAGCGTGCCTAGTAATCCCCGAAAGGCGATACGACGTCGGGCAGCAAACCAAACTCACGCCGAAGGCATTTCTTTGAGCGGAAGCAAGACCCAAAACGATAGGGAAAAAAAAAAGATTATTCGGATATTTTGTTATTTATAAAAAAAAGTGGTGTATATAAATAGAGAAGAAAGAGGGTTAGTAATAGAGAGTTTCGTTCTGTTTCTTTTTCGTGTGCGTATTGCGTGTGTCTGGGGTTTGAATCGCCATGGCCGCTCTGCAATACTTGGAATCGCTCCGCAACGCGCACCCCGAGCTCGCCGATTGGTACAATTCGCTTGCGGATCTGTACCAGAAGAAGCTCTGGCACCAGCTCACTCTCAAGCTCGAGCAGTTCGTAGCTCTCGCCGTTTTCCAGGTTCAACTCTCTCCACTACACTTTCTTCTTCCACTCTTTGCACTCCCAATTGCTATGAAACACTACCTTCCCTGTGTTTCTTTTATTTCTCCGGTTGTTAGAATTAGGGTTTTTGTGTGTGGTTGTTGGTGCGTGCCAGCTTGATTCGGGAGTTGGCCTCCTGAGAGTGGTTCTGCTGCTGTTAGGGTTTTTGTGTATTTGTTTTTGTTTAGGTTGTGATTGGAACTGGGAAGAAGATGGGAACTTTTTTAGCTATGATTGCGTCTGGATTTCGTGTGGGATCTGAGGATGTTGGTTAGGGTGCGTCGTGGATGGGGTTGTTAGGAAATTGAAATCTCCTAGGTGTGGGATTTGGAAAATTAGGGTTTTGTTAGACAGTGAATTTTTGGGCACCTGGATTTTAACTTGTGTTTTAGTTATTTGGAGTTGTTTGCGTGGAGGTTGGACCCCGGGGGGCGGGTGAGTGGAGCGGTGAATGAAGATTTTTAGCGACCAGATACATGATGTTAACGCTAACACGTGTGGAGCACGGGTTTGAGGGGAGTGGTGGATGAGGATTTTTAGCGAACCGGTGCATAATGGTAACATCTAACACGTGTGGAGCATGTGATTGATAAGTCAAAAAACCATGAAGATCAGAGAGCAGTGTCATATTGGATGGAACTTTAGCAGCTGTTTGATGTAAGCTAGCCTTGTAAATTTTGGTAATGGTTCAAGTAATTTAATATAATTTTATTTTTATGTGCTTTGTGAGGTTGAGATGTGAATTTCCTCCTACTTTCTGGGTGGGTTTATTTTGAGTGGGGATCTTTGCCGCAAATCTTTAGGTTGCATTATTGGCTGGAAGCTGCTGGATAGTAAGATCAAGTTTATTCATAAATACACAGGGTTGTTAAATATCCCAATGTAATGGAAAATTGCACTTGGAAAGTCTTTGTTATATTTGGAAATTATCATTCAGTTTGGTGCAGCATTAAATCCAAATCATCACTTGACTTCGGTACCAAGATCAGGATGTGTAGTTTGACAAAATTTGTG